GGTTTTTTCTTTTTACATCATATGCGAGAATGTGCTATTGATGCCTTGATGCAATGGGAGAGAGCAAGAGTAATAAATACGATACACTCAGGTTCTTGACTGCATACACAGTTAACAAACTTGCAAACTATTTTGTGGATTTCGGCGAATGGGATGTCCTTTTGCTTGTATGTGTGGGTGTGGGTGTGTGTAAATGAAAATCTTTATATATATTTCCTATCAATACTTTGTCATTGTTTGTTGTAAATTTATCTCAGTAAAGAGGGAGGAAGGGAGCGATGGTTAATATTATGGTATTAAATTAGTCTTTTTCGTTCCCGCTCAAAAGCAGAGAGACAGAGAGAGAGAGAGAGAGAGAGAGAGACAGCTAAAATGGAGTTAATTTAACTTTCATTTTCTTTTTTGTTAATGCATCCAAAGTCAAAAGTGTAACCTTTTTTACACATTAAGACTTGTACACTTTTGAAGCTTATTACTTATTTAACTTAACCATCAAGGGATTCCATTTTGGCATTTTGGGGAGAAAAGTAAATTCATATAATACTTTGTAATCATCCTACGTTCACTTTTTTACTGGTGAACCGAAATTTTTCGACACTTTTTATGAATACTAAGTAGTGAAATGATCTTAGCTGATGATTACATTACGCGATTACAAAGACTTTTCGCCTGGCTGTTGCAAGTATACTAACCTCGCTACATGAGAGAACACGAAAAGTAATAAACAACTTGAAATTCCGTAATATATGTATATATTGCATAGTCCTATCACTTTCTTATTAATAAATATTTCTTTTTAGTTATTCTCAATGTTAATCATATGACATTGGTTTCTGCAGCTGCAAAGCATACATAATTTTTAACTTTTGAACCGTATAATCATCGTAGGTTTACATAAGGCAGAGTTTTATAGGTATCATTCGTAAATGTGTGCAGGAGGACCTGTATGGTGCCGGTAGCGCTTATTATTCTTTAAGATTCTTCCTTAGGAAAAAAAAAAGAATTTATTATAATTTGTTTGTATTTTTTTTTTTTTTTTTTTTTAATGCGAAGCTTATCTTCTTCGCTTTCCTACGCTTTTAACGAAATGTGACAGAAAAAATGAACACAAACTGTCATTATTACGTTAAACTAGCCTCAGGCTAAAGCTCCTAAATCTAATTAAAGGATAAATTGAATTAGAAGAAACCTTTTTCTATCAAAAATTCATCACAAACGAAGTGAAAGTCTGTTTTTCTTACTTAATCACGTTTAAAAGTCTTAGCTCAACATTCCGAAGGGAGTTTTTTTGTTTACGGGCACAAAATATGAGCCGTTAACCAAATAAGCGTTATGCACAGAACCCATGCGCACGCTACTGTATTGCGTACCGCAATTGTTGTGTACGGCATCGGAGTAATCTTCGCATTTTATCGAAGCAAAATTATCAATTTTTATAGCTTCGATGTAGTAGGTAACGGAGCGACCATGAGAACAAGCCCCGGTAGGGTCAGGCTTACATCCTGGTTGTTTTTTTCCGCCGTTAGGGTAGAAAGCGCCTTTACCGATCGGCTGAAGAAAACCTAATTTGCCTCCGTTTGTTTGAATTGTTTCTACGTAATTAGCATCCGTACTCGACAAGCGACCTTGGGGTTTATTGTAATGAAACATGGGCAGAGCGGGATCTAAACCTACGATGGCATGTGGTTGACCTGAACAAATATTCTTGCCGGCAAATCCAGCAACGTGCGCTCCCAAACTATGACCAATAATCTCCAAGTCCTCTAGTTTTAAATCGTAGTTTTTAACCAAGAAATCCACAAGAGAAGCTATTTTCTTTCCTACACCCTTAGTAGCCAGAACTGAGGTTGCGTAATCCACGGAACGTGCACGAGCCCAATCAACGCGAATCATATTAAAGTCTCCTCGAGTGAGCCAAGCCTCACATGCACCGTAATTGAGGTAATCATCTTTACTAGAGCCCCAACCGTGTACGGTGATTCTGGTAGGATTCGTAGCATTGAAATGGGATGAATCAATAGATTGAATAGTGGCCTTGATTCGCTGGGCCTTATTTGGATTAGACTGTGTGCATAAATAAAACTGAACCGGATTTTTACTCAAATTGATGTCTTCGGTCTTTTCGTTTTCTCTAAATAGTGCTTCGACCGTTTGAAGATCGTACCATTCGAAGGAGCCATCTTTTCTAGGTACATACCAACCATTAACGCCATTCAAATGCTCCTCCTTGCCAATAACCGAAGAAGAGGCATAAACTAAATAAAGAAAAATTTAAGATTTCTTTCTTCCTTTTTTTCTTGTGTTGTTGTGATAATCGTACCTGCCGCCGCACAGTAAGTTAATAGTGTCCACAAATGTTTCATGTTTAATAATATTTTCGAAAATTCAATGTGTTTTCGCTTTTATACTACCAAGGCAATCTTTCATAAACCCGGTTTATAGGGGATGTTATCTCTGCGTGTGTGTTTATTTATGGTCTCATTTATTAATGAATCGTCAAATACTTTATTTCGATAAGACTCCACTAATCCCTGTCTTCAAACTTTTTACAACAACGAGCAAAGCGAACTTTCTTCTATTTTTCTTTTCCTATTATGTGCGTTCTTGTCTATGTTTATTTTTTTTTTAAATTTATTAGACCTACACTATAAACCTAATAGAGAGTAGACAAAGAGAAATGCAATCTGATAAGACGCTGTTTCCTAGAGTAACTGGCGTTTGCGAAGGCGAATGCCACTGACTGAAGATGCTCGTAATAAAGGATGGTTCGCCAAAAGCAAAAAACCCAACTGGATTCGTTTGTAAAAGGATTGCATGTGAAAATGTTCTCTGGATGCCGAATATAATTTTAGCTGAGTCAAAAGACGCAGCTAAAATTGTCTTTGTTTGAAGAAGATATGAAAGGAGCTTAGCGAAGGGTTAAGCTAGGGCCCAACTTATCTTATTCTTCTCTGTTATCATTGCTATTAATTTATATCATTCAATCAGCTACCAGAGGAGGTGTCCGTCCCCTATATCTGTACGCAGGGTGGAAGTATTACTGACGTAGGGAAGGAGAAAAGAGCGAAATTGATCAGAACCAAGCGGTGTACGCGCTTTTAGAATTTGCATTAGTTTTAATAGATGAAGCGCTGGGTAAAATCTTTCATTTCATCATTCATTGATAACAGTTTCACTCAGCCCTTTAGACGACTTTTTAGTGTAGTTAAAAAATCAGCAGAAGCAGATAACTTGCGCAGATAGTGAGCGAAGAGTTCAAAGATTGTGTGAACTTCCCACACTAGGCGCAAGTAAATTGTAGTTATCACCGATAAAAGTAAACAATTCGTTTTTAGCAATTATTAGGCTTTGTGTGTAACCATGACTACCCAGATATATGTTTGGCTCTCTTTGTCTATATTTGTCTTTTAAATATAATCTGATAGTGTTATTTCTATGTAGAAAGAATACTTTAGATGTACTTATGATTATATATACAGTAGTTTCCGCTTAACAAAAACCGTTTCCGTTATAACAAAAACAGGATCCAATTTGTTTAAATTCATTTGAAAATTCCTTTGGCACCATATGAAGGCCACTTACATTGAGAGGTAGGTACTTGTCAAGAATCGGGTATGAAAAGTCAATTAATTATTGGTTCTCTTACTTGTCGCCATTTATTCCATATATTCATACACTGCGGTGAACTACAAATTTACTCATAGGGATACAAATATGGCGAAAACGTGGCAATGAGAGATCTCTGGACCATACGTTATCTTGTAGTTAGCAGTCAACGTGTTATTAATACCGTTTTAAGAAAAAGTAATTCGTCCAAAGCAAAGGAAGCCTTGCTCTCCGCCTTCTTGAGGTGGTTTGAGGATTTCAAATAATTGTTCTTCTCCTTCTGTGAGTCAGCGAATCATCAACAAATGACTTGCCGAGTTGAGTAAAACAAATAAATGATTGTTAAAATATTCTTCTTCCCCCTATCACCGCGAATGTATAAACATCTCTAGACAGTTTACTCTAAAACCAATTCATTTGTCTTCTGTAAATAAACTTGAGAGGTAGCGTGCGATTTCCTAAGTAATGCATATCTTGCGCAGCCAGATGGGTTGCATAGGCAAAAATAGGTTTGTTTTGATGGAAGCATTATTGATTTGTGGCCGTTGGGGCACGTTTGTGAGTTACTTAAGCAAAGCTTATGTAAAGTAAAGCAATTCGGGTTTTAGATGATGGAAGGAGAGAGAGAGAGAGAGAGAGGAGAGAGGAGAGATACCTTCAATAATTTTCTCAACAGGATTCGGTTTTTGGTAGCGTAAGCTTCGATCATTTCTATAGCTGTGCGCGAATACCCTTCAGGCAATAATCCTGAATCGATCGGAACAATAAAAGGGATCTTAACTCTTTCTGCATAATGAATATGTCCCGCGAGAACTGAAGTAGCGCATAAGCACGCAAGACAAAGAGTACTTTCGTGGGTCTTAAATTTTCTTGAGCTCACTTTCCGTTAGAAAGCATCACCTGCCCATTGTCTTATAAGCGATGATTGTATGTATATATTAAGTGTGTCCATGCCTGCCTGAAGCGGCATTGATCTTTTGCAAGCCTTTTCAGACGCCTTGTAGTTAATAAAGGCAGAAATCGCATTCTTGACTGCAGGGAGAATACTTCCGATAGGATTCATGACGGGTTTTACATTTCTAAGATGATGGCTCTGTTAGATAAATTCGACAAAGTTTGCTTTCAATTTCTTCGACGGCTTCTTCATGTTTTCATAGCTAGTTCCCTGAGGCATTATCTTGACTGGTTAAACTGTTTGTCATTTTTAACAAGTTTTGTAATTTTCGTAGCAAATATTATTTGTTTGCTTTCATGCGTAGTAAGTACTCAGTGAGAATAGAACGACCGACTGATAATTACCAAATAATTCGTAATAAATCGATTTGAACAAATTTCAAGAGGTATGTGTTTTTGTTTTCTATTCAAGTTGTTTTCTATTGCATCGAGTGTGATTTATGGTAGAACTATTAATTGATGTTGTTTTACTTAACGTAGAAAGCGACTCTAATTGATAACAAGATAAGGCGGAAGGTGTGGTTTTTTCGTTTGATAGGAAAATTGTTATGAAAAACTTTTATTAAAAATAAGTTTACAAAAGCAATTTATATAAGCTTAGCAATGCTATAAGACAACGTGACAAAGATACTTACAATATTAAATACACACATATAAACACATGTGTATAGACATAAATAAAAGTATATTTCGAACCTTTGGATCGGCAAGTTATTAAGCAAAAGCAGCTGTAAGGCAGCTAAACAAAATGTAAAGCATATTCTAAGGTCTTTGGCAGCTTTGCCTCTTTGGGAATTTCGCTGGTTGTTACACAACTTAACAGAATTATAGATATGTAGCATTTTTGGAAAATATTAGTCTTACGGTATATATGGAAGCCTTCATAGTATTTGGGATTTCGTTAACATTCCATAGGGAGGCCTTTGTTTTATCGGTACATAGTATTCACCTTTCACTACATAAGCATTTGTTTTGGCAGCCATGCGCACCGAACTGTACGTCGAGCCGCATTTACCGCCAACTGCTGCCTCATAACTCTCACATCTTATCGCTAGAAAATTATCCATTTTTACGGCTTCAGCGTAGTAGTCGGAAACACGATTATGCGAACACACTCCCCCAAGGAAATCTAAAAGAAAACATCCGGGTTGCGAGGAACCACCGTTCGGATAGAAATCGCTTTTGCCAATCGGTTTCAGGAAACCCAAGACGCCCGCGTTAGTATGTATAGCTTCCACATAATAAGCATCGGTTTCATTTAGCCGTGTCTCCGGAGAGTCGGCGCTGAAAAATGGCTGGGCAGGATCCAAGCCAATAATTGTGAATATTTGGCCAGATTTTATATGTTTGCCAACATAGCCGGCAACATGTGCTCCCAAACTGTGGCCAATGACGTGCAATGTATCCAACGAGACACCTTTCTCAATAACGAGATAATCAATGAATTTAGATATGCGCTCGCCCACAGACGGCACGGCTGCCACCGCGGCTATGTAGTTGGGATCTTGCGCTCGGTCCCAATTGACAACAATAATATTGTATTCGCCCACACCCAACCACGCATCGCGTATATTTATATTCATGGGAAACAAATAGTTCTGTATCCAACCGTGAATAACGATACGAGTCGGTTTGGCTGCGTCGAAGTTGGACGCATCTATTGATTTGTCGGCCATCGAAATTACTTGAGGCTTTCGTTTATTAGCTCGTGTATAAAGATAAAAGTCCACGTTGTTAAACAAAAATTTTGTCTGTTTTTGCAAGTCGTTTAAGGCAACTTCAGCTGTTTGTCTTTCCATCCATACAAAGCTACCGTCTAACTGCGGAACATACCAACCGTTCTCGCCATTTTGTCGATTGTTATTTTCCGCTGTAGGAAAAGCAGACACTAGGCAAATGGGAGAAACAGTTTTCTTGTTATTAATTATTTTCCAAAAGTTTTGCTTCTTAAATTTTGTTTCTTACCAGCCAAAAAGCCGCAGACCAACAACCACAACAAATTCATTGTAGAAAGTAATTTTAAAGCGTCACGAACATGGTTTTTATACGATTTCCAGTAAATGAAACAATTTTGTTGAAATTTGAAATGCTTATCGTTATTGGAACCAAAAATGAAAGCAGCTATTGTGTATGGTCAGTGTAGCGGTGTTAACGCGTTTGAATTTTATCCAAACATTGTGGGAATACTCATCCACTTTTACCCCTTTATCGGGGAAATTCTCAAAGCCCTTGAGAACTTTTTTCTTTTATCTTTCTTGAGACTTGGTGCAGTTACACTCACACAAAATTGCGAGATGAAATTTATCGCACTTTGAAAAATTCCTTAGAATAAAGAGCGTGAACAAAAACAAGTTCGAGGTCTTTACGCAGCAATTACACGAGTTAAGGCGGCCGCCTTTCTCATTCAAAACTTTACTTGCGATCGATAAGTTGTTCGTTGATTGTATTGCATGTTGTCTTGCCGCGGAGTTCTTGAGATAGGGAAGGCAGGCTCTATTAAAGGCTCTTCTTCCAGGTCAGTTCTTCTTCAAAGTTCACCATTTGTTCAATTAGCTGCTAATCCATAAATCCGTTGAATCGTTTAAACCATAATTAATTTTTTTTTTTCCTTTTTCTAATTATACCTTAATCGAAATAATTTATTTAGGTGTGGTGACCCTAGCAGTGTGGCAAAATTCCTATTTCACGATAAGATTTGTTAACTTTTGGTTGGGGGGTTTAGCAATCCTTTAATTCAATTAATCAAAACGTTTAAAATATTTTAGATTTCTGAAAATCTTATCGAATACCGATATCTACGAAAATCTAGTAAACGCTGTTAAGAAACATTTGCGTATTAAGGCGAATTTTCTGCACCCTTTATTCGTCATTTGCATAAAACATAAGTTCAGAAATTTGGTTGATTTTGTTGCGTACGATAGGAGTCGAAAATTTGAAACCGCAATCATTGAATAACATTTGGATGAACCTGCGTTTAGTGGACACCTTCAATAGTTCATTAGTTTGACTTGACTAGTTAAGCACTATGTGTAGCAGGGCATTACTTGTTTGTTATTGTTACTTGTTGTTATCGTTGATGGGAGGTTTGATAAACGGCTTACATTGTTTTAAATGTTTTCAGGTTTGATATCATATTCTCTTCATTATCGTTAAACTGTTTTCATTAAGTCCATTGCACCTTTGTCAACACGTTATTATCCCTTTATAAAAATGCCAACGACAACCTAATTTTCTCTTTGTTGTGAAAGACTTGAATTTACAAAACGCATATATTTATGCAGTGTAACGAAGAGCAGTTGCAAAAAAGACCTTTCACTCTCTTGCCCTAATTTGTTTTTGTTATACCGCAGAAAACATTAATTCGTTTTCAAAAAGCAAAGGTATTTGTAGTTCATTTGGTTCCCAAGGATTTCATATATAATGCAACGGACTACAATTTTGCCATAATGTTTTGTTTAATTCATATATATTTTCGCTATAAGCCGACATCGACAAAATATCATTACAAAGTCAGTCTACATGAATTGAAGATCGTCCAGAGAGAGGGAGAGAGAGTGAGTGCTAGGCTCTTTTATTTGGCTGCGAAGTACAAACCAAAATTAAATTTTCTATGGTTTCTCTATTGAATGCTCCTTACCCTGTAAATGTCATGTCTGTCCTTTAAAGTGCTAGAGATGGCTACAAAGAATTTCTCTAACAAACACAAGATTTAATGCTGATGACTACACGCTGTGCTCTGGGCAATATCGCAAAGATATCACAAATCGAGAAGCAGTCACAAGCATTCCTTTTTTTGTGGTTTGACGTTTGACGTAAAGTTATCACAAGAAAACACAGTGTGGTTCTTATGCCCAATAATCCGTCAAAATGTCGGAATTGTGCTGCAAATGTATCTCAATAACTTGGAATGTGTAGTGAAGTGAAGTGAAGTATGTCAGCGAAAATGCTTGTACAAGGAATAGGTCGTGACGTAGTAATAAATTTATACCAGAAGTGTCAATTTTTTCGACTAAACCTTTTGTTTACTGCAGTGTGAACACATTTTCATGCAATTTCCATTCCTACAATTCCTACGAGAAGAATTTTTAGTAAAGTTTACCCCTTGCTAATAAAGAGTGACTGCCAGAAATATCTACGTAGTCCACAGCTTTTAAATCAATTTAATTCATCTGAAGGTTTATTGCCCTTGAACGCTTAGGCTTGTGTTTCAAGAAACAAAAGATAAGGACCAGGGGTATCGCCCTGCTGTCAATGGATGCCATAACAAGCGCCCTGTTGTGTTTTGTATCCGCATTCAAAGATGTCTAGTCTGCGACGGTCCTTTCGTTTCTTCTTCTATTACTTGCTGGAATGCTGATAATCACGAAAGTGGAAAGTTTACAAAGAATTCAAACAAACTACTGCCAATTAAGATATCTACTGGAGCCAATATTTGCCCTCAGAATTAGTTAAATATTTTCCATATTTTTCTATTTAATTCAAGCGTCCAATGTTCTGTCCAAAGAGATTTATACATATTTTTGAGTAACCTTTACTTTCTTTCTTGGGTGAATTGTGGAATAAGAAATTTTGATAAAAAATTCTTGACCCCCCCTTGAGATCGTGATTGCAATGTGAAAAGTTATTCGGACCTGATTGACTACTTACTTTCTTTCACATAACACCACACATTCCTGTTGGAAACGCAATGCATTGCTGTTGTTGTAATTGTAGTAAAATAAAAGTGAAATCACAGATTTTTATACTGAACCGCGTAAGCACATCCTTAGTTTCCAAACCCAATTAAGTGATTGTGTCTATTTTCTAATCGCTAGATTCCACTTTATATCCTCCCGTGCGGATAGAACTTATCATACGCTCAAGTATTGTTTACGTGCGTACTTGAGAAGCTTAAAATAACAAGTCAATCATTAATTTCCATATCGTTTACGGCAAAAGGATATGTTAAACTAGCACTTTTCATACATCAAGGCCCCACAACCACCTAAGCCCGCGCTTATATATTATACTGTAAGAACAACAACAACAGCATATATTGTGTATCACTTCTGCCGACACACACAGTCGTTGCAATACATGCACTTGTGTGTGATATCAATGCGAAATGATTGAATTGAATAGTAGACGACAACAAAGCGGATAATTTTTTTATGCGCTCGTTTTAATTTAATTAACACCGCAAGATATGCAATACATTTTCATAAAATCTCATTACTAATGATGTGCTAAACCGAAGAACATTTTCCATTTAATGATGCATACTTTAATGCATTTTCACAACTCGTGAACGACGCGCAATGTCGTTTTATTAAACATCAAGTTTTTTTTTTATTTTCCCTTTTGCAGGTTACTTTACATGAGCTGGGAACGAGTTATTTTACAAGCATTATAATTGCAATATTAAACTGGCATAGACGGCTTACCGTTAAACGCGCAAAAGCATGGAAAATATGATATGCGAGGAAAGGTGCATAAAAGGAACTAAAATTTTGAATTAAGCTTATCCTCTCTAAGGGGGCCAAAGTAACAATTCGAACTAGCTCCTCTAGTCCTGTGTTAATTGTTTAACTGTAAAATTAAAATGCAAGAAGAAAGTAAGCAAAATGGCTTAGAGCAAGAACAGATTCTTTCCCATTCAATCACGCCAATGGAAATTGAAAAATAACACTACTATAGCAAAGGAGATTCGAGAGACGTCAATTACCACAGAGTATATCAATCAACTTGGCACGAGTTATGGAGTTCTATTCACCTGAACTTGCAGCACTTAGTTTAACAAGTCATTTCAATACAGAAGTGTTCAACGAAATTAACAACAACATCAGTAGCGGCAACAGCAACGACACTTACAACGACGACAATGCTTTATACTTTAGAGAGTCTCAACAACAATTGCTTAAGCGTTTTACAAATGATGAAAATTACTTGGAGTACTTTAATGACAACAACAGCAGCTCGCAACAACATAAGAGCAACCATTCTATAGCAACTCATCTGCATCTATTAACCTCTTTAACCAGTGTCACAACAACTACTACTACTGCATCCGTTCCTTCTTTCAAATTCAGTCGACAAACCGAGTACGCCAGCAACGATGCTCATGAAGATAACGACATATTAATCATAAACAATAATACTTTGGCCGATTACTTTCAGTGTGATGGCGAGGCACAAAGTTTAAGTGCTTTGAATGCCACTCTCTATAACCGAACTGATCATAGCTCTGACGCTGCCCTGTCAAGTGTATACTTTAAGGTGACGGTGTATCTCTTGTATATTCCTATATTCATTTTTGCATTGCTGGGCAATGGCACCGTTTGCTACATCGTGCAATCAACACCACGCATGCGTACCGTTACAAACTTTTTCATCGCTAACCTAGCAGTCGGAGATATACTTATGTCGCTATTTTGCATACCGTCCTCCTTCATTTCCATTTTCATTCTGGGCTATTGGCCATTCGGCATCGCACTATGTTATCTGGTCAACTATTCGCAGGCTGTTAGTGTGCTAGTAAGTGCTTACACCTTGGTAGCGATATCCATTGATCGTTACATAGCAATAATGTGGCCATTAAAGCCGAGAATAACAAAACGGTAAGTGTAGTTGACGACGTCATTCTTTCTTATAACTTCTCTTGCAGTTAAAGTTTAAGTTTAAAAATTTATAAAATTGAAATGACAAATGAACGAAATGAACGAGTATTTGCCTGAATTAAGCTGGTCGGTGTCATAGAGGAATTGCCAGCAAATATGAAGTTGCTTGTATCCTTCGACAATTCACATAAACTGGTATTGAAAGCAATTCAAGATTATCTGATTCTTGGATTGTTGGTGGATATATGGCTTAACTAGAAAGAAATTTTTACATTTATATGATTTAAGTGTTCATACACACAGGTGGTGTTCACACCTTTTGAAAACTAAAAGCAAAAATTGTTGCTAAAGAATGTTACTTACATTACCCATCCATAGGAAAGTTTTGTAACAGAAATCGAGTAACACAGACCAAGCGCTGTATATCTTTTCCTTTTCCCAATATACCAGCTTTTTTCGGCACGACTGGACATCATCTAATACCTTGCTGGCTTGTCTGGCTCTGTTAAACTATAGAATAAGTTAATTGCTTCTATTGTAGCCTAGTTTCGAGTTATCCTTTATTCCAAGTACAAAGAGTAGGACTGACAAATTGAAGGATTGTGCGAATTTATTGATATTTTGTTAATTTAACTTTTCTTATTTATATATGTATGACGTCCGTCCTTGTCTGAATTGTTAGAGAACATTTAGTTATATATATATATATATATATATGTGTGTGCATGTAATAATTCGATTTAATTTTTGTTGAGCTTATTTTGGATTTGAACGCTAAATTGATTTTTTCTACTTTGCAGATATGCGAAAATCATAATTGCTTTCATATGGTTTGTAGCTTTAGCTACAGCGTTTCCCATACCTCTTGTTTCGAAGCTAGTACAGCCGGGGTTATGGCATGAATATTGCGAACGGTAAGTCACAAAAGACGAAGAAAAAAGAAAAAAGTAGATAAGGAAAAGAAGAAAGAAACAACCCGAACAAATTATTCATAAAAATTTTGCTTGAAAGTCATATCAATAAGATGAAAATCTTAATGCAAAACTGATTTGAGTGTTATAACGATAGATGTGTATTACGGGAAACGGCAACATAAGACATTACAGTCGGGCAAAGTCGACAAATGTATACCTTAGACTACATCGTCTTGGTATTAAGGGAGTCAGGAAAATATAGTTAGCATAGTGCCCAGCCTACGGCAGGAAATTTAGGTATCAAGTCAATACTAAAAATTGATTCAAAAAATGCTCTACTACTTCCATTCAAACTTTCGACTTTCGTTTGGTGCGCAAAACTTGAAAAATTTTTTCATGTAAGTAGTTTTCAAAAAAGGGCTGCATGGGAGGGGGGCGATTAAGGATTTGTAAAATGATCCAATACAATCCATTTTCAACAGTGTTTGTCTTAAACTAGAAAATATACCTAGAATTTCGAATGAATGTTAAAATACCTTGGCTGACATCTAATTGCAATGTGGACAAACGGACAGACATGTTTCCATCTATCCAGAAAAAAGTTGATGTAATAGAGCCAAGGTGTCGGAGATATCAAACCCACCACAAGTGTTATGGGATACAAAAAGAAAGTTTGTATACAAATAATATTTTTATGCATAAAAACTAAAAGTAGTCACGAGTCGATTGTTAGAGAAAACCTAAATTTAATTTTCTCTCCTTTTGGAATCTCAGAATTTCTTCTATATGTCGCACAGAGAACTTGTCAAATTCGTGAGTAGCATGAAACTCAAACACACACAAGTGTTATGGGGAGTAGGAAGGAAGAAAGTATTCTTACAAGTAATGTAATTATGAATAACAATTAAAAGTTGTCACGATTTGCTTCGTAGAGAGAACTCAAATTTAATTTTCACTTATATGTTATATGTTTCTGACACAGACTTTACACAGAGAACTTGTCAAACTCCTCATGACTAGCATGACATTTTTGCTTCAAGAGATGCTCAATAACTATGCCGAGAGGTCGGTGATCACAATGCTAGATTACAAATTGAAGAGGTTTGAGGGGCGTATGAACGACTTCGACATGTATGTCAGTTTTGTCGAAAATTTCGTTTAGGGCGTGTATATTGTAACTTTTCCGTTCTTTAATGCTAAACGATTCAAGTTATTGAGAACGCTTGCAAGAAATGCTTTAGCTTAGTTCATCAAATGATTATCGTGAGCGCATAATAAAACTTATTTTTATCTATATATAATGGCTTATGTGTAATCTTTTCTGAATAACTGCGCGTATGTGGTTTTGCGGAATTTGCTTTAGTTTAATTCTCTCGATTGCTTCTGTACTTGAAAGTAATTGATATTCTTACGCTCCTTCTCATATACACAATAATAAATATTATCTCTACTCGAAGCTCTGGCGCTTGAATAGATTTCCAATTATAGTTTGTTAAGAATTTGACGTTCAAGGCAAGGCAAGACTATCAAAGCATTTGAAGAAAAAAAAAAAAAGAAAGAAACTTTGAGCACAAGGCATGATATGTTTTTAAAATACGTCATAAAAATACAAAAATAAATAAAAATTTGCGGTTTCCCCTCTTCTACGCACTGAACACATTTTTCGTCGTGCTCTGGGAAGATTTGTTTAACGTTGGCAATGTGTGTGTGTGTGTGTGTGGGAGGGACTGTATTGTTATGTTAAATCATTACTTTTTGTGGTTTTGAAAATTATCTCAGCCATTTCAGATTTGATTCCAAACGAGAAATTTACCCTAAACTCGTACACTGAGATACTCTGTTGCTTCTTTGCTTGCTATTCTACCAAAGTGAAGATATCCAACAAGGTTGTTAAGGTATGTGTCCTTGCTAAATATATTCGTTACAGTTATTCCTAATCTTGGGCGATTTTGGCGGCGACAAACCCTGAACATAGTAATGAAGTTAGGTTGTTCTGATAAGTTTTAGGATCCCTTGGAATATATCAAAAATCTGCTCTTGAATAAATTCGTTAAAATATCATGCAAAACATTTTCGATAACTTTTCACCAATATATGGTAAATGGGAACAACAAATTTCTTCTCTCACTTTTTATAACACCAAGTATGATTTCTTTCTTCATTTATGTTTGTCGCTAACCAAGTGCGACGAAGCCGCCCCCTTTTTAGCAAAAACAAAAATGTACACTACGTACAGTGGGCTAACTTCACCCTGGTTATATTCTCCATTTTTCAAAAAGCAGTAACCTCCACACACAGACACACACACACACACAAAAGGCACTTAGGCGCCAGACAGAGATTTATGGATTTATTTAGACGTTCATAAATATTTCAACATTCACATGCAAATATTTGTGCTTAGCGATGTCGTTATTTAAGAAAACCAAGCGAAAAAGTTTGTCCGTTTTAAGATTACTCTTGTGTATAGCTAGCTAGCTAGCTAGCTAGCTGTTGATTATAAGGCAAAGCAATGGAAATTATTTATTTCTGCAAGAAATTTTTTTCATATAACTCCGATACAAGACGACACCAATTCTAGGCTGACCGCGCGCTTGCTTGGTGCCGGTGTCAGTGTCTTTTCTAAGTTTGCTCGAATTTTTCTCTTTTAGGCGAAATGCCTGAGACCATTTACTTATTACACTGCTGTTCGAAAAGTCATTCCGTTTAGAAAGACTATTCATACATAGTTCTTCTATATAGAATGACTGATCTCCATGTACATTTTCTACATAGTATAAAATGGTCGGATTCGATCCATTTAATAACCCTACGGAAAAGAATACATAGGTAAGAACTTTATATTCAAGCATACATAGCTCATACATAGCTATATTTAACAAACATGCGAAGCTACTCATATGCAATTAACAGGAAAGGACAAATAGTTTGCTAGCTTAACTTCATTCCACTCCGCTAATGAAAGTGAAAAAGAAAAAAGAATTAAAAAAAAAACTCGCCCAATTACTCTGATTGTAGCCGCAAGGCAGGGACGTGAAAGATTGCTAAACCTAGTCAAATATGCATTCGCTTATGTCCGAACTACCGCAGTTCAATTAAGAATTATTCCAGCTATTATTCTTGGCAACCAAACCAAAACAATATAAATAAAAATAAAAGCGAGCATCCCCAAAAAGAGTACGCACTAGCTAGCTGCATACAATGTAGCAACAAAAAAAAAAAAAAGAGAAAGAGAAAAAAACATTTTGCATTTTTGCTATGTTTTCATACACATGCGTAGGTAGTGTTCTGACTTGCAATCAGAATAAAACATTTTCTAAACGCAACTCTCGGTTAGTTAACAAATTAAAACTGTTAGCTTAGCATGAACATTAAAACGTAATGTTTGGGTTTGGTATTGAATTGACTCTAATCTCTATTGAAAGAATGGAAAAAGTCGTTCAGAAACCCGAATAGAATAGAAAGAGTATTGTTTCCCGTCATGGCAACGGCAAGTCCGACTACCATTCGCTCCTTAGTTCTCTTAATGGCTTAAACAAAGCCCACTTTATATCTCACTTGGTTCAGTTTTCTGCAGTAACGTCTTAATGGCAAAAGACCATAGATAACATTAGCCATCACCATGTACTTGATTAAAATGCATTTTGAATAGAAAGAAAAACATAGCAAAAAGCACTCATCTATTGTATAATGCACGTAGATAAAGATATCGTTACATTTATGTAATATGATCGACGAACTGCTTACTATCTGCCATTTAAAGTCAAGCGAATGGAGTTCCACTTTATCTTAGATGTAGAAATTTGTCCAAGTTGAGCGAGCTTGGCTGGGAAGTTTGGATGCATCCACTGAGCCCTCTGTAAAGCTCCCTTGATAGCCTAAAGACTAATCAATAAAGGAACAATCACTTGGCCATGTTCTTTGTCGATATACGCAGAAAGTTCCATACCTGTCAGTCAGAATCATGAACTATGCCTAGAAAGGGGAAAAACTGCAGTTAGTTATCTATTTAATCAAAATTCATTTACTTAAAGCAAAAACTTGACAGCAAAAAACATAACATTTTGTTTATCAGTATTTTTCCCATAAATTCTATTATAAATCCTTTGGCAAGATACCATATTTTAGCGAATTTTCTCTAGAGACAAATAGGAATTTCTTAGCGCATAATAGTTTATGGGACGTAAAATGTTGTCTTGGGTGGCATTGAGATGAAATGTTTACTAACGATCTGACCGACGCCGAAGATAAAGAACATCATTGACAGACAGTAAGTGTATTTAAATATTTTACTTCAGGGAATTGAGACAAGATGGAATAACTTTTACAGCCGCGTTCTTTAATTTTAAGGCCTCTGGCAAATCGTGAATTGCTTATGTGCACTGTAAAGTGTTTCGTTTGCTTTTACTGCTTTTCTAGTCAGTTTTCTATGATTTCTATTATTTTCGTGATTTTCTCTTTATTATCCTATAAGCTTTCGTTTTTTGGTTTTTTTGTTTGTTCGTTTATTTGCAAGTTTACTAACTACAGGTTTTCTTGTAAATAATTTTGTAGCTACGTTTGCCAAGAGGCATGGCCTAATGCTGAACAGGAATATTACTACACACTAGCGTTGCTGACGTTGCAATTCATTGTGCCGTTGTCGGTGCTAGTCTTCACATACACTCGCATAGCTTTGGCTGTTTGGGGTAAGAGGCCGCCTGGTGAAGCAGAAAACTCAAGGGATCAACGTATGGCAAGGTCAAAACGTAAGGTAAGTTTACAATGCACGAAATCACATAAAAAGTGTGTCAAGACATTGTGTGTGGCTTGACAAGAAGAAACTGCTTTTCCAACTAGAAAGGTCGTTAGTGATATGTTACTTGACGCTTGTAACACGTTGAGGTGAACTTTTTTTTTAAATTAATCTAGAGCACAAAATTCTTGAAGGTTTCCTTTTTTTTCTTTCAATTTTACACGAACCCCTTACACAGAAGTGCATTAATATTGCTGGGCATTCCGTTGCAGCCAGAAGAGAATGTGGGCGGCGGGCATATAATTGATTGATAAAGTGAGATTTTTAGTTGATTTACTTATGCTTTTTTTTCTTTTCTTTCCAAGCTTCCGCTTGCATATTCAATCATTTAATTGTTCGTCCGTCCTTCCGTCCTTACATAAGAATTTTCAATTAAAAAAAAAGGCGAAAAAAGAAATAAATAAAAAAAATTTCTATTCTTCTTATCTATAATTTATGCACTTTAGCAGGACGGCTTGGGGTGGCGAGTACCCACAATTCGCTTCAAAGTTGCTGATGGATGTTGTTATTTATTTAAAACTATAAAAATCTTTTTGCAAAGACCATGCATGCTGTCTCCTTCTCTCTCTTTAGTATATAGTTTTATCCTTTTTTAATGACACTTTCAACTTGGTCTTCGTGAAAGTGAAAGTTCCTGGGAACTTTCCAGGTGATGTAATAAAATAGCGTCTTGTGTTGCGCTATGCTCTTGTATACGCAGCTGATATTATAGTTACTTGGACATGATACACTTGTATAAGCTATTTATGGTTAGTTTTGATAAGTCATAAAAACGTTTCGCGCAAGAACTTATATACGCAGTGGGGTCTTAATTGTCGGGCAACTAAATAGTTTTTTACGTTCTACTAATAATTAAGTTCGTATATAATATCAGCGAAACTCATTCCCTCTCTACCTTTAGATGATCGATATATTTTGCAAATATCTTTTGCCATTGTGGTAAAGACAGGACACAGGGACAAAGAACTCCTTGTCCATCAAATCGCAAATAATTGCTTTGGAAGCCAAACAATTAAAAATATTCGTATATTGCGTAGCTTCCCGATTCCTTCATTGAATAAAGCAGCCATAGTTTAGTATCTCTCATGAAAGAAAATTTGGCCGTCTTTACCGTCTTTCTCAACATAATACAAGGCACAGCTGCCATTATCAGATGTCTATGGAGGAGAGCAAATACTTTCTCGGCCTTCACTTCAAAGGAGATCGAAAATTGTCAAGCTTTGATTGAAGCAAGCAATTGAGTGAGTTATACAAATGCGTTTCTTAAATTTTTAAGCAATATTGGGCTCGACGATCGATTCAGTTTCATTACCTGATTCGATCTACGCCTGTCTGTCCGTCTGATATCTATCGACGCAAATTTGTTCAAGCTACAGGTCGCCATTTTTGAGATATTTTGATGAGATTTTGTACAACGACTTGTCTTTTTCACCCATGAACATGAAAATGATTTGGATGGGTCCACTTTTTCGATCACTTACCGCATGACGCCCTATTCTGAAAAGTCTTTATATGGAAAAAAATTGCAACTTTCAAAATTTCCCGGTAAAACTAGCTAAGTAGTAGTGTTTCGGCATTCTAAATTGGTATGAAAAGTTTGGACCGACTGGAACAATTTTTGAACCCCCTCTCATTTACACATTTAACATGTAATAATTTTACATAAAAAAATTAACTGTACCAAATTTAGACCATCTCGGCGTATTTTTTAAATCCTACCCTTATTAGAGTTTTCACAAGAATTGATCCTTCGTAGAGCAGAAAAGTGTAAAGTTCAGTATGTGGTGATGAAAATTGACCAAACACGAACTCTACAAAATTTGGACCATCTACGCCTATTTTTGGGTCCCGCCCTATGTAGGGTTTGAACTTGTATTACATTAGCTTGCGTTTTCGGCCAGCTTAGGTACCCCATAGGTACATGAAAATAATTTCTATATTCTATAATAAAAATATAAATTGTGTTCGATAATAAGGCGAGTTCTTTCATGGTCGAGCTTGCCCAACTACAAAGTTCTTGTTTTCCTATTAGGGTATATGTAAGAGGGAAAGGAATTAAAGATCAACCTTATCATTTTGGAGGTTGTAGTTTCCCCTACGTCATTCAAGCGCTCATTTAAAATACGTGGTAGGAATTTAAAAAAGTATTTTCTTGCTTTAGTCTCTCTGGCGGTAAGCATTGATTTCATGTGACCCGATTCTTTGTGTATTTTCAAGTTAGTTAATGCTAGCTGGCTGCATGCTAGCACGTTAGGCGTTAGTGATGCGTTCGATAATTCGCCATTTTTTTCTTGGTAGTTTTATAACTGATATATGCTGGAATTAATTTAGCTTTGAAAAGTTATTTAAATGATCATGTTTATGCAATAAGTTTGTGTGACGATATGTATGAGACTATCATCAATTTGCATATGTACAGTTGCGGCATAGCTATTAATTAATTAAGAAAAAAAAGCTCATTTTCCTTAACTATTGTGTTTAAAAATTTCAAGCTTTAATAAAATATAATTACCATTAGTAGCACTATATGTGATAATAACGGCTTTTTGTTTATTATAAACTTCGCATATTAACTGCAGCTATAGATTAATCGCGCTAACTCAACCGTTATTTGTTATACTAATCGCACTCTCTTAGTCGGAGCACGATAGCTATCATGCATACGATAATGATTTTGTTAAACTGAAATTATGGCTGGATTTTAACTAAACGAAATACTGAAGGTAGGGCAAGCGCTATTAATAATTAAGAAGAAGAGAGTGGTAAATAGGGCGGGAGATGTTAACACATCGCCCTTTTGCAAGACGATTAATTAATTAACTAATGTGAGAAAAGCAATTTAAAAAAAAAATTGAATGCAAAAAAGAAACATTTTTCTCGAGGATCCCAGATAGGGTAACAGAAAATCGCGCCAGACAATCTGAACTGGCTGAAGAATTTCTTGTTTGAAAGTAATAAATTTAATTCGTTTGAAGTTGCGTTGCAAGTTATACGACGAGATGATAGCTAATCACAGGTTGAAGCGGCAGATTTAATTTATGATGATTTGCGGGCATAAGCACTTTAAAGTACGGACGATGCAACTGCTATGCTACATCATCGTGTGTATAATTTTTTCCATTTACCTTTTCAAAGAGAGGGAACCGAAAAACAAATACCAACAACAACAACAACAACAACAACAACAACAACAATAGTAATAATAATAATAAAAACAACAATCACAATTAGTAACAAGAAACTTTTATCTAAACTGCATTAAATTAGTTTTGCTTATAACCACCGAATACCATTAGCGTTATTAACTCTTTACAGAGAGGAGGAGGTGAAGGCAGTTTGATGAATTGAATTGAAAACAATTTGAAAATGTTTTTGCAGATGCAACAGAAACTTTTTCTATTACCTAAGATGAAAATTGAAAATGATTTATGGATTTCAAAGCAGCATATATTTAATCCTCATCTCCCGCATTAGCTATTGACGCGATGTGATGTTATTTCAGCGCCTTCTCAAAACTAACCATACAGACATTATAAAAATGCCCATCATGTCAGATACCATTCGATCATTGCCTGTATTAGATACGCTTTGCTGTTTGCGTAACTTCAGACACCTGCATCGGTATGTGTGTGTAAATTTGTTTGAATATCTACCAAATTGAACCAAGAGAGTTTGCGATAATGTAATGATATATATATATATATATATATATATAATGTGGGCAAGAAGAAAGGTGACTTTTATAAGAGTCTGAGCTGCGACAGCATTGCAGATGTCTTTCGGACATACGTATAACTTTTACTTATTAAAGTGTAACGTTTTATTATGACAACACGATATGTTTTTCGAGTTTGGCAGAAATCTGCCAATGACCGGCCATAAAACAAGGAGAAGTTTGCATATTTTCATTAAGCTTTTAAGCGGTTCTTTGCACTGTCTATATGAATTTGTTCCAATTTAACATGAATTGCTCGTGACAGTGGAAGGGCTTGAGAAGAACAACAAAAAGCGCTTGACAGTTCTTTTAAGGACATTCACAAAAATGAAAATGATTCGGGGACTATCATTGCTTCTATCTAGAAATCAAAATTTTATTATTGATTGTAAGATTGCTTGCCTGTTATAGAATTATCGACAAGACGGACCACTGGCGACTCTTTAATAATGGACTGCTTTCAAAGACACAGGCTGGCTCAGACGCATGAAAGCACCTTACAATCCTAATCTGATTCTAAATATGGATCATTAGCGGGTGCTTTGCTGAAAAGGTTGCATCATTCGATTGATGATCATGGACAAGCAAGAAAGTTATATTCGACTGTGGTCGATCCCTCTATGCCCACCATCTCTATCTTGAAAGAAAAAAAAAGAAACCAATCAAATTGATATTTTGATACCCTATAAATCCATTGCGTGGGCGTGGCATAGTTTTCACATTTTTGTACAGATACTATAGGATACACCTGCAACTTGCTATCGTTGTGTATCTGATGTTGTTCATAAGTAAACAGCAGAGGAGGCATTTTTTTTTGCATTTGAAAACAAATTTATTCTCAGCTTGCATTGCGCCATGGGTGTGCTTTAACCTATTTGGTCCATCGTCAAATTCCAACATGCGTGCAGCAACTTTCAGTGTTTTTTGATGAAATTACAACCGACATTGTCATGTTTGTGACCCTGACAATGTTTTCCGCAGACATCACACAGTCGGACGGACGGACGGACGGACAAACGGACATGCTCTACTGGATGGAGTGTTACAAGCGTTTTAATAAAGTGCATATACCCGACCTATGCTTCGCTGTTGGTGGTTATGAAAAAGCGAATACGTTTCAATGATCGCTGACAGCATTGAAATGTTTATTTGTACAAAATAATTTCCTACTCAAATGCTGCAAGCAAATATTTGTTCGATGTTGTGTTTCGCTTCTTTTTTTTTGTATTTTTTTTCTAATTTC